CATCCTCACTGCTGTCCTGCAGCCCCCCCCGCCACCCCCCAGGGGTAAATTCCAGAGGCTGAAGGAAAAGGTGACACAGAGACTGGGCTCCCTGGATCCTGCCTGGCTGCAGAGGTGCCAGGAGATTCCTGGGGACAAAGGGACAAAGCAGGAAGTGGGATGGGATCTCCTGGAGCTGGAGGAAGGAGCAGCAGTGGGAGATTCCCGGAGGAAAAGGCCGGGGGGAGATGGAGCAGGAGCCCAGGAATCGTTTGGTGCTGCCAGTGAGGAGAGGGAGGAGCACGTGGCAGCCCAGAAGGAGAGTGGGAAAAGATCAGATCCCATGGGAAACGTCTTGGAAGAGCTGGAGGAAGGTGGGGGAGCAGCAGTGGGAGATTCCAGGGGGAAAACGCCACATGGAGACGATGGCGCCGCGGCTCCCGTGAAGCTCCAGAGATGCCACCAGGCCTTGGCCAAGGAATCCTTTGGTACTGCCAGTCAGGAGAAGGAGGAGCACGTGGCAGCCCAAAAGGAGAGTGGGAAACCATCAAATCCCATGGGAAACCTCCTGGAGGAGGAGCAGGAGGTGGGAGCAGCAGCGGGAAGTACCAGGAGGAAAAGGCCACGTGGAGACGACAGCGCCGGGTCTTCCAGGAAGCTCCGGAGATGCCACCAGGCCTCAGCCAAGGGATCCTTTGGTACTGCCAGTCAGGAGGAGCACATGGCAGCCCAAAAGGAGAGTGGGAAAACATGGGATCCCATGGAAAACATCCCAGGGGAGCTGGAGGAGGAGCATGAGAAGCCCAGACCCACCCGCAGAGCCGCTCCCCGGAGCGACGGCAACTTCGTCCGCCTTTGCCTGAAGAGGAAATCCCACGTCCGTGGCCACGCCCTGCGGGGAAATCGCCTTCGGAAGCAGGTGATGGCACCTCCAGGGCTTCCCGACAACCAGAATTCCCACCTTTTTCCCAGTTTTTCCCTTTCAGTTCACTCATTTTTAAGCTGTCGCCGTGTGGGCGGCTCAGATCGGCTTCCCGTCCTTCCCGCTGCTGCCTGATCTTTTTACCTGACCAAAAATTAGGGATTTTTTAAAAAAATGAATTCACATTTTGAGGTTAAATCCTCTGGGATTTTGGGGGAGGGGGTGGGGAACCTGGAGTAAAATTCCCTTTGCTCTTTAAAGCCTGGGGAGCATTTTGCTTTGAGGAAAACCCAGAGCCGGAGGGAGGTAAAAACATCACGAAATAGATAAAAAGTTTTAAAATTTTTTTTAAAAATAGATAAAATTCAAAATGAAAAGGTAAAAACAAATAACGGGAAGTGGTTCCACGTGGCAGGTGTGGAAGCAAAAGTGGAAAAAAAAAGCAGAGTGGCTTGGAGGAGGCAGCAGATCCAGAAGCTCCGACCTTTGCTTCCGATGCGGCGGGACGGGACACTGGGCATCGACGTGCGGGGCGCAGGGTGAGGCCGGAGCGTCGGAGTCACTGTGGAAAAGCCAGGAGCTGGGCTTGGATCTGGCTGTGCTGGAGCAGGAAGAGGATGGGAAGCTGCCCTTTTCCCTCCTCTCTGCTGTTGGTTTTTAGGGATTTGGTGGGAAAAGGTTGGAGGCTCTTGTGGGTTGAAGGAGGGAATGGGATTCCCGCCCGCAGGAACGGCGCCCGGCGCGCTGCCGGAGGAGAGCAACCCTGCTGAGGAAGAGGAGGAGGATCCCCTGCCCACCCTGGAAGAAGTGGCTCGCAGGACCAACACTGTATTCCCAACATTTTCAGGTGAGGCTCCACCGGGATCACCTGGCTCTCCACTGACACGCTGTGGTTGGCTCTGGGATAAATTCCGGGAGACTTTGGAATTGTTTTCTCTTCCCTCTGGGAAGCTGGTGCTCTCAGGAAGGGGTCGAAGCTACAGGCAGGTTCACTGGTTGCTCCAGGAGGGTTGTGGAAATCCAGGAGAAGCCACCTGCACATCCCAACCCAGCTGCCTTTGTCCCCAGCAGAGCAGGGAGATGGTGACCAGCTGGGAAAATCCGAGGAGCATTCGGAGTCTCCAACTTACCTGGATGTGAGGAGGCTGGAACATGAACCCCCAGCCCCCCCTGTACCTGTGGAGCCCTTTTACATCCCAGATCCAGAGGGGAAGGTGCCAGGTATGGCTCCAAGTGGATCCAGGTGGCTTTGTCCCCCCGTGTCCCCATCCCATGGCATGTCCTTCCCCCTCACAGAGCCCCCGGATCAGGTGTTGGAAGCCCTGAAGACCTTGGGATACAGCTCTTTCCGCCCCGGCCAGGAGCTGGCCGTCATGAGGATCCTTTCTGGTGAGTTTCCCACCTTTCCTCCATGGGATTCGAGCTCTCCATGATCCATGTGAGGTGGCTGCATTGTCCCCAATCCCTGGTTTGTTTTATTTTTTTGGTTCCCAGGCCTTTCCACACTGGTGGTGTTATCCACAGGGATGGGGAAGTCCCTCTGCTACCAGCTCCCCGCTTACCTCTACCACAAACGCTCTAAGTGCATCACCTTGGTCATCTCTCCCTTAGTATCCCTGATGGATGACCAGGTACTGTTGGGATTATCCCACTTTTCCCACTCCAACTCCAGGTTAAAAGCTCCCAGGCTCCCAAAACAGGGAAGTTGGTGGCCAAGTTGAGGGGGGGGTTTCCCTTTCCAAGTCATGGCCACCATGGCTTCACTTCCAGGTCTCAGGGTTGCCCACGTGCCTGAAGGCTGTCTGCATCCATTCCAACATGTCCAGACTCCAGCGGGAAGCAGCCATGGAGAAGGTGAGGGATTAGGATTTCTGGAATTCCCAGGGAGAGCTGTGCATGGCAAGAGTATTCCCATGGGAAGCTACATGATCCCAGCGACGGTGGCAGCGCCGAGTCCCTGGGAGAAGCGGGGGGGAAGTTGCCATTCTCCTCCTTGATCCAGCATTCCCAAATCCTGGCACAGGTGAGACAGGGAGAGGTGCAGGTCCTACTCCTGTCTCCAGAGGCTCTGGTCGGGGCTGGAAGTGGATCAGGATGTGGGTTCCTTCCCTCTTCCCACCTCCTTCCACCCGTGGCCTTCGCCTGCATCGACGAAGCTCATTGCCTCTCTGAGTGGTCCCACAACTTCCGGCCTTCCTACCTCCGGCTCTGCAAGGTGAGGGGAGGAGGGGGCTGGGAAACATGGGAAAGCTTCGGAACGTTGGGGGTCCTGCTTATTTGTTTTCCCCTCCTCTGGCAGGTTCTCCGGGATCGCTTGGGCGTCCGGTGCTTCCTGGGGCTGACGGCCACGGCCACCGTGGCCACGGCGCGGGATGTGTCCCGCATTCCCCAAGGGATAACTGTGCACTCAGCCTCTGTGCCCCCCAACCTGCACCTCTCCGTCTCCATGGACCGGGATAGGGATCAGGTGGGGACACAGATCCCTGGAGGATGAGCCTGGGAGGCTCAACCCAGGATTTTTTGGATGGGGTGATGGATTCAGGGCGGATCTTCCCAAGAGAGATTCCCAACTCTTCTCTTTTTCTTTTTTTTGGGGGGTTGGGGCAATATTCCACTTCTCCAGGCCCTCATCTCCCTGCTCCAAGGGGAACGTTTTGGCTGCCTGGATTCCATCATCATCTACTGCACACGGCGGGAGGAGACGACCCGGATCGCCGCGCTCATCCGGACCTGTCTCCAAGGAATGCTGCTGGGAACGCCGCCCCAGGAACCCACTGGATCCCAGGAACCCAGTGGGAACGCTGCCCCAAAGAGGAAGGCAAAGGGTAGGGGGCACAGCCTTGCTCTCCAAAGGGAATGTCAGCCTAAAATGTCTCCTCTGGCCAATCCGTGGTGGAACAGAGAATCCCTAGGGAATGAGCTGTGCTCCAGGGAATCTCCATGGACATATTCCAGCTCCATGGAGCCTCCATGTTGGATTCAGAGCACAGGGAGCCTTCGATATCCAGCTCTCCAGGGGGATTTATTCATCCCAGACCATAACTTGGGAGTCCTTCATTCTCCCTCCAAATCCGCTCCGTGGCAGATCCATGGCCCAGCTCCTCCTGGAATCCCAAGGGATCCCTTCCCCCCACCACCACCCCCCCTCCTCCTTCCTCCTCCTTCTCCTGCCTTTGTTTTCCAACCCATCCCACTTCCAAACCAACGGGAGCTTAACGACCTTTGGCAGCTAATGAGGAGCACGTGGTTCCCAGGGCCCGTTCCTCCCCCCGCCACCAATGAATGAGCTGCTCCCCCTAATGAATGAGCTGCTGGACTTCTCCCCGGATAGAAATCCCTCGTTAACATCATTCTATCCCTCATTAGCATCATCTGATCCCTGATTAAACCACACTGCTCAGCCTGGGGTCCTCACCAAACAGGCTGAGGAGACACCTGATCCCACCGCCCGTGTCATTCGGCGTCTTTGCTGGAGATGGGGGTGGTGGGATCGAGTGTCTCCTCAGCAGGTTTGCTGATGCCTCCCAGAGTGGGTGGTGAGCTGGGCACCCTAGAGGGAAGGGATCCATCCAGAGGGACCTGGACAGGCTGGAGAAGTGGGCCTGTGTGAACCTCGTGAAGTTCACTGAGGCCAGGTTGGGGAAATCCCAGGCAGAAATCCAGGCTGGGGGGAGAATGGATGGAGGGCAGCCCCGAGGAGAAGGACTTGGGGATGTTGGGTGAGAAGGAGCTCAGTGTGAGCCCAGAAACCCCCTGTGTCCTGGGCTGTGTCCCCAGCAGAGTCACCAGCAGGGCCAGGGAGGGGGTTGTCCCCTCTGCTGAGCCTCCCCTGCAGGGCTGGGGCTGGGCTGGGGTCCCCAGCACAGGAAGGACACAGAGCTGTTGGAGAGAGGCCAGAGGAGGCCCCGGAGATGCTGGGAGGGCTGGAGCAGCTCTGGAGCCAGGCTGGGAGAGTTGGGGTGTTCAGCCTGGAGAAGAGAAGGCTCCAGGGAGACCTTAGAGCA